TTAGACTTTAGGCAAATATTTATGAAGAAACAGTCACACAAGCACAACAAACACACTCCCTGGGGAAGAAAGGATTTTTTTTAAAGCAATTATATTTTGAAAAATACAGATAACTCGCAAAGGCTGTTTGGAGTCCATCTTAAAAGTATCCATCTAATGGTGTTGACAAAGTTGTCTTGGATTGCCAAATGGATCAGAAGATTGAAATTCTGGAATGTTCAGCATCTGGGTATTATTTATGCTTTTCTGTCTACAAGGCAAGGGATACAGAATATCAAGTTTAAAAATACAGAACAGATTTAGCAGCATCTTTCTGAAATTTGAGGACCCAAACTAAGATTCCTACACACCGGTCTAAAATATAGTGCTTTTTCATATGAATGTGGCTAGGTATCCCCCAAGAAAATATTCAGAGAAAAAAATCTTGTGTAATATTAGTATAATACTACCACCAAGCTATTTTTACTTCCATGACCCTGTACAACACAAAATAATTGAAGATTCCATGCAACTACAATTCTTGCTAAAGCTATTTCTGCCTGTCAAACTAGTTAACTATTTTGCTGAGTATTTGTTTTATTACTATTATTCCGAAAGCTAGGGGAGATTTAGGTTAGATATAAGGAAGAAGTTCTTTACTGTGAGAGTGGCAACGCACTGGAACGGGCTGCCTAAGGAGGTTGTGAATGCTCCATCCCTGGCAGTGTTCAAGGCCAGGTTCGATGGGGCTTTAAGCAACCTGCTCTAGTGGGAAGTGTTGCTGCCCATGGAAGGGGGGTTGGAACTGGATGATCTTAAGGCCTTTCAAACCCAAACTATGATTCTAAGTAATACTTAACACGTATTTTGTGAAAGTTCATTTGCAATCTAATTTAAGATCTAAAAATATCTCTGCTCATCTTGTATCAGTAATACTTCATAAATAACTGGAAGCACTTGAAAAACTGAAGTAATACACACTCCAGCACTTGATTTTCTTATACGTCATATACAGCCAAACTGTTCCTTTTACGAGTGGCAACAAAAGATGTAATTACTCCAAAGCAGATATTCTGGCATAACTGGATATTTTATGGCAAAGCTATAAAGAGCTTGCAGATGCCATAAATTCCAGCAGTGATATTTATGTCCAACCATGTATCTGCTACTAACTTTGAGTTCATATTTTCTGACATACATTTCACTTTTAAAAGCATTTAAAAGGACCCAAATTTCATCCACCAATTTCCAGGTGTATTTGGTTTTTAACCAAATCTTCCCATCTAATCTTTGGCCACAACTTTCAGAAAAGACATGATTCACAACTTTACACCTCCAATACAATTTTCGCACATATTCACATATTCAGAGAAAACTTAGAAAAACTTGCCTTTATAAGTCATTATGGTCTGTCCTGTTTGGGCAGTATTTTACATGCATTACAGGCGAAGATGATCTATAATTGCACTTGTAAACAACCAGGGCCAGCACAATACAAGAAACAGGACTGCAAGCATGACTGCTGGTGCCTCTGTTTCTCAACAATGGCCTCAAACTTAGACTGATGGCTCTCTGGGCTTTTTGCCAACACCGCACACCAAATTAAAATAGAAAGGAGGGAAGTAGGCAACCTGGGGTCTAAAATTTAATTCTGACCTTATGTGTAAGCTCTATGGGAGGCCTGGGCAAAGCAGAATGTTAATCTACCACATAAGGGGGGCAGAGGGCAACTATGGGGAAAATAATACATTTTGGTATTTTGAAACCGTCGATCTTGAAAACTAATCAAATCTTCAAGTATAAACATTGTTATTCTCAGAAAATAACATTTAATGTGAGTTTTAGTTATATGTCCACAGGCCACTTTCTTTCAGCATGAATTAAACTACGGATTTTTCTGGCTTTAACCCACTTTATGCAAACCATGAACATTTATGTTTCATAAATTTGCAGGTTTATGGATCTCATTAACTATGAAATATGGATAGTATATCAGAAAGTAGATTTGAAAGTGAGGATGAAGAGAACGTTTCAGCCTTATCAGAAGAACATGCTCTATTCACACTTTCTCTCATACTTCACAGTGGAAGTTTAGTATTTTGCTAAAACATATTTGCTAACGTAGTAACATTTACATTGTAGTAACAGAATAATTTTTTTAATCAAATCGGTGTTCTTCACAGAACTGTCTACAAGGAGTAAACTTTTTTTTCTACAGTTAAAATAATAATACAGTGTTAAGTCCAAAATTGCAAATGAGCAAGCATATTCATAAAATTTTGCAGATGCTTACTAAGTTTAACATAACTTCCATGAAAGCTCAGCTATTAAGTTCTAGGGATCACGTTTAACTTCTCAGTGGAGAAGAAAATGTATGGTAAACAGACTAAATTATTTCTCTATTTTCCTACTATAGAACCAATGTATTAATCAGATATGTGCTCGTGCAATCCATTGCACTTGGATCCTTCAATTTTAAACACAAGTACCTAGAAAATGAAGCTGTTAAATACCTATTGGTACAATATTTACTAACTATTAAAATAACTTAACAGCATAACTCAATTTTGTCAAACTACCAAATAAACATAGTAATAAGTAAAACTGGATTAAGCTATTCTGAGACAGAATCTTGAAAATTAGATGCTTGAGTTACAGTGCTCAGAAAGCTTCCTTTATTGATCATTATTTTTAGAATATTTACATAAATTGTTCTATTAGTTTCATCTCTGGCCTTTCCAAGAGAAAACTCACAGGACATTATCAACTTCATCTACACACCACATTTCAGAAGTGCAGAAACAAATAAACCACTTTACTCTTCTTGTGAGGTGAGATTAACCTCATATGAATCTTCAACTTGATCTGGGTGCTACCACAAAATTACAGGTGACATATGTAAAGAAAAAGAAGTATTTTTATGATGATTAATACCACATAACATCTTCTCTTAATATAGCTTGACAAGTCGGAGATACACAACCAACTGAGAAACAGCAACTATTCTCCTCTGGGAGATCCAGGTCATCAAAACACAGTAAGGGAGGTCAATCTGAAAGCAGTGGAGGAAAGTTTTGAAACTGTTATCCCCTATTCAGAACCTCAGAAGGGAGAGTCCAAAATCTTTCTTCACTATTGTCTTCAGAGGGATTTATTCTGGCTCAAACTATTACCAAAGACACTACCATGAATTACAATAGAATAAGACAAGGAAGTGCTCTACAAAATAGCCTGATAAAAAACTCTCAGCTGCATTAGATGAAACTTCTGTGGGTTTTTAGCACAGCAGAAGGCATTATGCATCAGTGCATAAGGTAGGTGCTTACATAAGCAGCAGTGATGTAACTTTGGAAAGTACTTGCCAATAGTGCTCATAAGTCGATTCCATACATTCCAACATACTGTCCACTTCATAGACTGACACATTATACGATGTGTATAATGAAGACCACCTTCATGTTTCATGTACTTTTATGTGAAAAATGGAAGAGCAGACAATATCTGATCTGCCTCTTATCTGCCATAGCTTTGTGGGAAAGTTACAGAATTTTGTGAACAGCTTTGAATCAGCAGAATGACTGCTGATAAGCAGTATACATGGATTAATATTATGTGTTCAGATACAACACTCAGATTTATAATTTTATAGAACCACAACACAAATAAATCATGCGAACACATTTAATTCAAACAGAATAAACTTCCAAGCACTTCAAACACTTACAAAATAGTACCTGTGAGTGCACCTATAAACAAATTGTTTCAACACTTCCTCCTTATGCTTGGCTTCCTTTATGCTTTTACTGAATGACTACCACAACAGATTTGATAAAATAATGATACACTCAATGTTAAGTGCAACACTGTGCAATAATGTCTTCAACAGAAATAAATCTTATGTTTTTGCTGTTTTCACTATTGCCTTCAACTCATTGCTTCTTTTTTGTTACACAGACATAATACTTGATCAACTGCAGAACAAATTTGTGATCAATTCTGAAAAAATCCATAGGCAGCTGAACTTTGTCTGTTAAAATGAATCAAGTAATGAAATGGGAATCACACTGGTTTCGTTACTTTGGTCCCTGTGCACTAGAAATGAATGGATAGTAACAGGTCTGGTTGGTTTACCTTGCAATCCACAAAAAGTACTTTTGTAACTCTTAAAATGGACTCTTCAAAGTAACAGAGAACTTACTGGAAATATAAGGAAGATTTTCAGAGTGAAAATGTGTTAAGGTTCAAACCACTTCTAACCATTTCCCCCTTACTTTTAAGTAAACCTACAACTCAAATAGCCATTGACATGTGCAGTCTGTGCTGTAAGCTGGTAATACTTCAAATACAATCACAAGCTGTGAGACTGAAAACTCTTGTATAATTAGATACGCAACAACAACTATCTAGATGTTTCTACTGCAATAACCATCTAGGAACCTGCTTTTCCACATATGGATTCAAGAAGATAGGAAATAAAAAAAAGAACCAGATTGCAGAAAGTATATAAAAATGTTAAAAAGAACTCCTGAAAAATTATAGGACTGTGTGATGCAAAACATGTTCACTACAGTGGGCCACATTAGGTAATGACATTTTTTCTGCTTTATTTTCTGTTATGTTTTTGTTCTCCCACAAGTAATAATACTAAACCTTATGTAATATAGTGATTTTCGTACAATTTATGTCCCAAAACACCATCCTCAGGAAAAAAGAATGAAGCAATGTTGCATGACAGGATTCACCATTACAAATAGTCCATCAACTGGAAGTCTGGAAGCCAAGTCAGGAAGAAATCTGAGAGGACTGCAATCACCAGAAAATGTCCTTTGTATTTTATTTTTTTATCTGAGTAACAAATGTAAGTATTCATATGAACTGTAGCACATTAAAATCTACATATTCACCATGACCCTCAGTTCCTCCATTTGAAAAAAAGCTTAGTGTAGAAGAATTTCCCCCTGAAATATTTATCCCACAGTGACCATGAACATTTTATGCTACTCAATTAATCCAGTCCATACCTGCAAACTTGCCAGTTCAGCAGCTGACTTCGCTTTGAGGCAGAGAACGAGTGCCACAAATGCATTTAAGTCCTCCAGAGAGAGGCTACTGACCTAGAACAGATGGAAAAATAACACATTATCTGAAAGCTCTGAAGAGGAACTTTCTGAAAATTGACTCCTCTTGCTCAAGCACATGAAACATAAATCAGCAATCTCATGAAATTATTACCACCATGAATACATTATCTAAGAAGACACTTAAAGGGAACAAAATATTTTCACAGCTTGAATGAAGCACATACCCCAATACCTGTGTAGAATGTTCATACATGGATTTCCACACACCAAACAAAATGCCCACCCTTCATGTATTACCTTCTCTTCCCTTGGAGTTTCTTAATAACAGGAAATTTCTTCATCTCCATAACACTAAGCATAGTAAAAACCTGAGATTTTAAAATATAAATTGCTTTATAATCAAGACCCTGAATGAAAACCACCTCAGTGAGCCACAAACACGATCACCCTTAGGATTTTTTTCAAAGGTTTACACGGTTATCTGTTAGAATCTTTAAAATAATCTAAAATATTTCACCCACTTTAAGCAAAATTTCAGAATTTAACAAATTTAACATATTCAATTTCTTTTAAGGTTTTAGGCTACATACTGAAATTGGAAGAAGTCAAAACTGTAAGAAAACTAAACCTAAAATATTCAAGGGGGAAAACATAAAGAAAAATTCCAAATTCATGTAACAGTTCACTCTTAATATTTCTATCAGAAAAGGTAGAATGGAGGCATTTACTGTTGCAAAAAAGTATTCTGAGATTCTATACTATCAACTCAGGAGAAAGACAGTGCCTCTAGACCAGCTCGTCTGGTTCCCTGACAGTACCAGTCCAGTTCTGATCATTTGCTTCCTTTACCAAGAACACTATAGATTATACATGTGTACCAGGACTAAAGATCTGATTGCAAATGTTGAGGCTATAAAGAGGTCTCTAAGTGAGATCCATAAAGCATTACAATTCTTTATCAGCTGGAACTTGGGGGAAGGTTTCTCTTGCATAGTGCAAATATGTGCATTGCGGGCTTAGAGTAGCTAAAAGGCTGCCTAAAACTCTGCACTGACTTTATTTTAACAGCTTGATTTTCAGGGAATGTTGTGTACATTTCAATTTATTAAGAGTTTTTATCAAGGCTATTAAAAATCAAAAAGTGACAGAAAAAATGGAGATAAAAATTAACAAAAAAAAAAAAGTAGATCAATAGAAAAAAAACCCCAAAAAATAAAACAACAAAAAAAACCCCAAACAACAAAAGAAACAAGAAAACCACAAACAATAAGACATCTATAATTACTTCATTTAGGAAAAGTGATCCATTTTTTCCTGCTCAAAATAAAAATTATTCAACTACTACTGCGAATTTTTTATTAAATCATACCTTGCTGCTTGTCCCCCTGTAAGATACTTTCCCTTCTACAATGCTGTTAAAATTTTCATCAAGCACAAGAATGTGAGGGGTATCAGAAAAGTTTTAAGGATTCAAAATGCTCCTTGGTATTCATTAACTCCACCTGGCTGCTAAGATCTGATAATGGCCCTACTTTACCCTGTATTTCAAGTCAGGCATCATCTTTGTGTAGATGGCAACAAGAGAGGTTTACTAAACCTGCACATTGTCTGTATTGCAACAACAGAAAAGGTGACTTTCATCTACGAAAAAATCCTTAATACTTACACAACTCTGTCCTAAGAAAAATAAGTCAAAGACTGCTTGCAAGTACAACAGCATGGCAATGCCCCTAACAGAGCAGATCAGCCAAAACACTTCTTTAGAGAAATACTTTATTCAGTAACTGAACTTGTTATCATACTTCCATTGTCAGATTTCTTCTAACACTGCAAGAGCTTGAAAGAGAAATTTCTCCTTTCTTTGCAGGCTCCACAGTTTGGTAGTTGAATGAATTCCCTTCTTTCCCCAACTTTAAAGACAGACCTATTATTTTGTAATTTTTTCACAATTTCTGTTCTTATTTTGGAGGATATTTGAAAAGAACCCTCATGGAAAAGATTACTCTTCAAATTGACACTTTCTTTACATAGCTAAGATTTGTTTATTTCACATTTTTTCTTGTTGGGAAAAAAAATGCATCTTAAGTTTTCATTAAATACATGCACATGAATTTGAGGAAGCCAGATGGGTGGGTCAGTATGCTGGCTCCTGCAAAACTTAGATTAGATGATAAGTAATGACATTTTTAAGAAGTATACTTCACTCTTACATGAGCTGAAGGAAATGATGTTAGGCTGCTTCAAGGAAACCTACAGTTGCTTGTCTTAAATCACCTTTGGGGTAAAAATCCACCTTCCTTCTCTAATATAAATGTAAGACTGAAGTATTACGTAATGACAAGAATTAGGCCACAGTTAGACAAGCATTGTTTCCTCAGCTATAAAACAAATGGAAGCAGCATGGCTAGCTTGAAACATGGATGCTGGCACTCTTGCTCTCACGTTTTCCTCTCAAACTGCCAAGAAAACAAATGGACAACTAAGCAACGCACAAAACAGCTCAGCAACGAGAAACATTTTAATCCAAATCAGTTCCCTAGCCTGGTTCACAGGGTAGATTGTATCAGTGCAATTCAGAGGGCAGAAGAGACTCAGGAGAATGGAACAGGTGTTGAGAAACTGGCACTGCCATGAAAAACCTTCCACGTAACTAAGCCCATTGCATGATGTCTCTGCTATTATTCTTATTGAAAACATCAGCTGCAAAACTGTTTTCATCTTTGTTTTTACCAATCACCATTGAATAGTAAGTTCCAAAAACCAAATCCCTAACAAGCTGATTTTTTTCCACTTTATTAATTATGCTATGATCAAGGCTCAGTAAATCCACATTTCTGTAGGTGTTCTATCCTGTTATTCTTCTTAACTCCACTAAAGAAAGCCCTCCAAAATAATTTAGTAATCATACTATGAAAGGGTGTACAGGAAATCACAATAAATAAATGAAAGAGTGAAAATAGATAAATCAAACTATGGTTTCATATCCAAATACGAAAAACACTTAAGAATATTTTAAAAGCTAAATACATGATATGTATCTTGCTAAATTGAAACCACAAGCCATGAAATCCTGTTTCATAAATTTTATCTTCAAAAAAATTTCCATTTTTATTCTGCTATACAAAAAATAATTAAAAAAGAGCTATATGGATTATTTGTATAATTCCCATATGTACTTCCTCAGTGCATCGTCTAAGTTTGAACAAACTTGTAAAAACGAAAAAGAAAGGAAAAGTCAGGGAGAACTTGTTTTCATGTATCACATGCCAGTATAAATCTGTAACTGAGGAACGTAAAGTCTGAAAAAAACAAAGCAAAAGACAAAATGCAGTTCAGCGTAAGGAAAAGTACAACAGAACTTTTCAGATTAGATAAAGGTATTATAATTTTCTCATCCTCAAAGAGGAAAATCTTCTTGTGAGATCAACACTTGAAAGGCGGCAAGTACAGACAATATATTAAATACCTAAGAGAAACGTAAATAATGAAGCAATATTTTATTTCATCTAGTGTTCCTTTTTGCTACAATTAAGGTAGTCTGCAGGCTGGCAAATGTTTGGAATTATAACAGAACTGCTACTTAATGATCCCCTATTATTCAGAATTTAATGAGAAGAGCCATATCCTCAATTCTGGCTTGAAACTGAGTAGACTGGCAAGATGGTGTGAAAAAGTAGTGACAGCTGACTAAATATTTATATAGACTGTTGGCACAGACTGCATAGTCACCTGAGGGAATGTCTTCTTTCGATGACACAAAGGAAACACAAAAAGAGAAGCTTTAATTTGCAAATAGGTCCCCAAAAGCAGGGGAAATCCCTCAGTTTATACTCTGTTAAACTGCCCAAGGGGCTTTGTCATGGGCATGTGAAAGTTATGATTAACTACTAAAAAACCCAAGCGCTTCTTGAACAGGATAACGCAAGTTAAATGGAGTAATTAAAAATACCATAATGCAGTATTATTATACTTGAGCATTTATGCCTATGGTAAAGATTAAGAGAAAAATCGAGCACAGACTAGCAAGAAACAATTTATTAGTCAATCACATCTATCAGGGATGACAGCCGAAGAAAAAGCAACTGTCCCAGTTACCTGCATCATAAGATAGGCCAGCAAGCAGCAAAATGCTGCAACAGGTGCTTCTAGAGCTTGGAGCTCTTCCATCTCGTCCTGAAGGTGAAAGCATGCCAGAAATGTACTATACCGCTGCTTTTCCACGTCAGGTCCTTTGGCAAACCACAGTGTTTTCAAATTAGGTGTTCCACCTACAAAAGAAATCCATTATTTTATCTTGGCAGCAACAAGATAAAACATGCCTACCTCATTACAATCTGAAAGGAAACAACTGATCTGCTCTTGGCACTTGCAACGACAGAGTTGAAAATGAAATGTATTTGACAAAACCTGGCATTTGGGGGTGGGGGGTGGGGGGGAGGCCTGTAATTTAAACAAGTTGTATTGAATACAGGCATGTTTAAGCAGAGTGGGCTAAATTCAATTGTTACAAAAATACAGACAACTTTGAGACAGCAGGCTTTTACTCTTTGCAAGAACAAAGTCTGCCTACAAGTGTGTCCTTTCCCCTGAGGGTTCACAATATTAAATAAGGTTAGGTTCATCATAAAACAGCGATTCAGCAGAAAACAACCATACCTGTTTTTTCACTGTCTTTCTCTCTCCTAGAGCTAGCCTATCAGGGGTCCTTGTAGGATCCTTACATTGCTTCCCTAATAATCACCTGTTCTAATAAACAACTGGCCACCTATAGCATTTGCTGGCAAACACATCCTCCACAAAACACTGTGCTTGTATGGCTCCTCTGCAGTAGATTACAGTTTGGGAACAGAACATAAGGCGCTCTGGTATTTTGCAGTCCCTAGGCTACTGCATAAAACACTGTTGCAAACACACACAAAAGAATTGTCATCAATTATGTACAATGTATCTTCCAGACTTGCTATAGCATCATTCACAGTGTCTCTAAATCCTTAATATTTACCCCATGTTGTCATCCCCCAACTTGTGAACTAAGATAAAATTTGCTCCCCATTTAAATTACATTTAATCCGTTAGGAAAATAAACACTAATGCACGTGAAATAACAGAACAGCTAAATATTTATGCCTAAGAATTCCAATTTAAGACAGAATCCTTCCATAAAATACTGCTGCTTGTGTAGTTAAATAAAACGAGGTGTGAATTTTAAATGTGGACTAATTAAGGCACATTTGGTAACACCTTTTCCTTTTTTGTGTGACAGGCAGCAGCTGTAGCCGAGTTAGAACACTTGGTGATAATAAATGGTTAAAGTGACAAGGTGCTGAAATCTACATAGACAATGTTTATTTAGCCAAGAAAGCCCATTAACCAAATGGTACTAATTCTTTGGAGAAGGGGAAACTAGAAGATAGGATTTTCTCTTTCCATCTCCCTGATGGATGTCTCCTTTACTATTTTTAAGACTAACTCTCTCATCCAAAGTTTAAACCATGTAAAAAAACACCACCATACAATCGGTAAGAGTTTCTAACCTTCTTTTATAGGGAGATGTATATATTAAGAAAAAATACCAGTTGCTTGATTGGAGTTAGAAATACAGGTTAGTGATAGCACAAATATTGGCAGTGAGTGGTCCAGTACAGACAGCACAGTAAGACTCAGATTACCGGTTTTGATACTGGTAATTGCTGCTTTAATAAAAGAAAAGCACAGAATGATTTCCAGGAAGAAAAGCAAATACAACATGCTTAAAAGCAGGACAAAGCCAACTTTTCCTATCAAGACTAAGCAACTTTAATGTGCGTGACAATTTTTATATGTGTAAACTCGTATTGCTATGATGGTTTCTGCTTTCTAGAAGTTTCCCAGTCAGCTGCGTATGAAAAGATATGCCAAGAATCAGTTAAAGGAAAGTACTCTTTCCATCTGTATAGCTGTTTTTTTAAATGACTTGCATCCAGGGGTATACCTAATAATAGAAATCCTTTTTCTTCAGAGTAAAACCATGAACTACATCAATAATCAACATTACATATCTATATAGAGAGAGTTCAACAAAAAATTCAAGCCATCTCTTCTATAAACAGTTTCTTACACTTTCAGAAACAACATCTACTTGCGCCTGGGAAAAAGAGGTAATGATGAATTATGAGTTATTTACTCTGGGAAAGAAGACTTGACGCAATCTCCTCTTGGAACATACCAGTCAAAAGTGTTTTTCTGAAAGGATTACTTCTACAAGTAATTAAATTTCATGTAATAACCAAGATCAATCCATTATATTAACCATTAAAGGAAAGATAAGTAAAACAAAGAACAATTACGCTAAGTTAAATGACTGTCCCATCGTGCATGGCAGTCAACAAGAGACCTAAGACTGCTATACAGTAGTCCCTCAGAACTGTTCTCTGCTTTAGTTACCTCACTACACACTTTACAGCAATTAGAAAATTGCTGAGAGAAATTTATTTGGATAGGGAGGAGAAATATTTTACTTCTGAACACATCGATTACTTACTAAATTAACCTAAAAACCCCAAAACTAGCACCAAAAGGGAAGCAGAATTAAACATAATTAGATATTTATAATTGATACATCTTTACTGTAAGATCAGTCATGAGAAAATTATCTGTCCTACTGTGGTTGTAGAAAACACAAGTTCCTATGAATTACAGAGAGAACCTCAAACACTGCATATGGTTACGGTCATTCTCAACATGCATAAAACTCTGAAAACTGTATTGCTTGTATGTAAACTGTAGTCCTTGGGAACTCCAAGAAGAGCAGCATCACAAAGACCTGCACTGGAGATCAAGAGATACTACTTGCCAAAACACAGAAATGGACAGAAAAGTTAAGAGAAAAAACACTGATTTGATTTTTTTCCCCCCATTTTGAAATTTCATTTTATAACACCAGGAATAGAACTTTTACACTTCATTGCTTTACAAACTCCTGTAAATACTGAGCAATTAAAGTAAGTTTATAAAAATGTACTTGCTAGGAACACTGAACATTAACTTGTTAACAACTGTGGCCAGTTTTAAAGATGCCATAAATCCAAATGCCAATTAAATCTGACCATTGAAGATGTATTTCAGAGACTGCATTTTGAACATAAGCATATTCATGACGTATTCTTGCAAGATGCAATGATTAGAACAGTGAATGTACACCCAAACTCCTGTGGTATGAAGCTACAATATCCTACACATTTTCAGAAATAAAATGAAAACCAGAATCCACACATTTCCAGTAAAAGACTTTAAAACTTTTTCTGTTCCATACAAACTGCACATGTAACAAACAGATCTGCTATGTTCACAACATATGGATGTCGAACAGTATTTTCTTGGATCAGAGGCCTTCTAACAAAATTCATTTCTCAGAGACATTTTTATCATTCAAGTGCTGCTCTGTCGATGTGTGGGAAGCATCATGATCACATTCATTCAATGGAAAAGAAATATTCCGGAAGAGAGAAGAGAGAAAATGCAAGCAAGCACAGATGCCAATTCAGAAGACTGTCTCTCCAGAAAAATACATATACATAATACACACTGTATTTTAAATATATTTTATTATCTTACAGCCTTTAGGATTCGATCTTTCATTTCTAAGAAAAGCTAACATTGACTCTATTGCTCACAAGCTTTTCAGATGGAAGACAGTTCTTCTGGTTTATACACACACACAAAAAAATTACCAGTGGGAATTCTACCTTTTTTTTTTTTTTTACTCAATGCAAAATTTAACATAGTTACAGTTATCTACATTACAGTTTGAAGATCAAATATTCTTTCTTCAGACTTTTAAATCTAAACCAAATTCAATAGTCAGGGTTTCCCATGTATTCTCAGCACATTTGTAAAGTAGCTGTGATGATGAGGTTATTTCTTCCCAAACAATAAAGCAGAGAGTCTTCCCAGATTAATTGCACCTGTGATGTTTTAAATAGTTTCTGGTAAGGTTTTTCCTCTTTTTGAGTAACCTGATCTTGATTGACAGCTTTGAACTCTAACTTCCTATAACAACTTCTTTAAATTTAGCTCTTAATATGATCCCTGTCTGAAAAAACTGATGCGCTGTTGAGAACCTTATTTGGTGAACTAGAAAGTCCTGCTGTGGAAAATAAAAGATGCATGAGCGAATGTAAGGCATACTAATATGGACTGTAAAAATTTTAGAAAAATATTTGTTCACTGAAGGAATGACAACAGAGCACTAAAAATAAACACTAGAAGTCCTCCTCCCCTTTTTTAATAGTCTGCTTGAACAGCCTTTCATTACAGAATAAGTAAAGATTATGGCTGAGAAGATGTTGTTTTTATAAACTCTTCTTCTGTGGTTGCTATAAACAAACACACAGAGTGATTTTAAATCCTGTTTATTGTCAACAGGAGGGTAGGTTCTATGTGTAGCATGTTTGCAGAGCAATAGAACCAAAGTACATAAGACTAAGTGGATTCTTCTCCAGAAAGGGAGGAAGGTACTACACTACCTGGGAAGGAAAAATTCACAGCAAATAAAATATATTTGCCATGCAAACTGAAACGCAGCTAACTAAGCATGTTTATACTATGTTGGGTTTTGTTTGCTTGTTTTACAAATGCATGTTCCCAGACCATTGTATGCTGAAATAAAACAATTGTACAGCACAGACCAATCAGTTTTTACTCTGCATATTCATATCCATTTGGAAAATTTCACAGTAATTTCATGCTATCATCAAGTCAATTAGACAATCACTCTCTTCATATTGCATTGGGGTACTGGACAGTGGAAGTACTGTATATCAAATGAAACTTTGTTTGTATTTTGTCTATATAACTCAGTTTCTCTCAAAAGGATTTTGAAAAGGGTGGTATGTAATGATCAACTGGTTTTCCTTAAGCCTTGAATTTGAAGACTCTCATTAAATATACAAGTTTCAAATATGAAGATAAGCGTACAATCTCAGGGTATGTAAAAAAATACATTTAATATAATTTTAGACAATTAAAACCAAGTAGGTTCCAAAGCAATCCATAACAATACAAACAAACAAACAAACAAAAAACCAACCAAAACCAAAACAACAAACCCACCTTCTTTTAAATCTGAATTTAGACTAGATCAGAACAAGAACTGCTACAGAAAGCTCTGGATACTGAAAAAAGAAGCACTGGTAATTATTCTCAAAAAGTTGATAGATAATAATTTTTCTCAACAAGATATCAATGGCATTGTGTATCAACGGAACCAATTAATTTCATATGAAAGACTAAAAACCTCTGAACTCCTGATCCACATGAAAGCAGATGACCAGAAAGAGACAGGGCACTGCGACAGTAAAGATAGAGGGGTTATGACTACAACAGCATGATCAAATGAACAATTAGGACAATTTTCTCCTGAAATAACAAAATCGATACAGTATTGTTTACTTCCTGTCCTAAACTTGTATTGCATGATACAATTTAGTGACATATACAGTACCGAATCTTTTCACCAAAGTGTATGATGCTTCCTTGTAAATGTAACACACTCCATTAATTTCATTAAGAGTGTTCATGTGTCCTTTACCAAAGGAAAGAAGATAAAAGATGCACAAAACACTTGATGCTTAAGACAGTAGAAACAGCTTCACAGAAACAAGTAGCCTAATCGTATTTTTACTGAAAGCTGGATTCTCTTCTGGGATTGTCACAGGTGATCTAAAAATGACCCCCTTTTTATATTCTCTGCCAGTCTTGTTAACACATTCTCTCAAGCAGCTTAATAGAAGAATTTTAATATGGCCCCACACCCCACTTATTCTGGCCTCAGAGTAGTGTTTAGAACCTCTAAGAAATTGTTTGCATTTTAGAACTGATGTCTGAATTAGCACTGGACTTAACAAGACATAGTAATAACATGTAGCTCAAAGCTGAATCCTATCATAATTACACAGGGTAATTAAAAGCAATTACAGGCATGCAGCATTTCTACTTAGCTCCTTGCTCTCCACAGATGTTTCAGATTCCACATAAAACATGTGATGATGGATTGCCTAACCTTATCGTAGTTATGGCATTATTTCAGTTCAGATTTAAACACATTTTATTCTACCTGGAATAGGTTGTACAGGCTGTATGAGCTCTGGCTGTTGGAGAGGATTTCCAAAATAGACAAACCACTCTTTCACAAAAGGATAGGCTCCACCTAAAATGACAGAATTGGATCAGTAAGTCAAATGCAAGTATTGACACCAGTGTAAAAGGTGGAAGCAGCAGTGATCTGGACTGTAAAGTAATAGAAGACAGTTCATAATTACTTACTTGCTCAGCTTCTTAAAAAACAAATAAAAAACCCTAGTTTTAGCATCTGTGTGACAAATTATCAGAACAAATGAAGAAACTTTGAATTATGCACTATAAACATGAGTTTGGAGTTGGGAACTGTAGCCATAAATGCAAGTATTAGTCTGCGGAAAACATTCTAAAATGTCTTTCAACTAATTTTAGGCCTTCCCATTTCAAGGCAGTTCAGGAAGCCATGGAGGCATCTGACATAGCTTAGGGACCGACATGTGCTACCTCAGTCTCTCAGGGCTGTCACACTGCCACATATGCAGGCAGTCCTTAATACGATTCTCCTCCCAACTTGCCCTGATGTTTCCTGTGTCAGGGTTTAAGACAAAATCTTTATAAGGCCTTGATGGCTATTTGAAAGCTTACAGCAATGGAGTCATCCCACCATCAGATGCAGAGCTTTTACAGCCCATTGTTCCAGACCTTTTATCTAGTATAAAGGAATTGTTTATGCATAATAGCTCAAGTGGCTTCCTACCCCCTAACCTCAACTCTGCCACGCCCTCCAGTAAAGAGTAGGGTGCCTCTTAAAGATTTCACTGCCTGAGTTGTGCACCTAACGACCTGATGCTTAGGGAAAAAAAAAAAAAGGAAGAAAATACCCTCAGAAAAAACTCAAGCATTTAAGAATTTTTAAAATGCAGTCTACCTAATTTCCAATAGTCAGCTGATAATCATCCCAATGCAAGTCATCCTTAAAAAACCCTAGAATAATTATCATTATTATAAATGGTGCTTCTGCATTCTGTACAGATATTGCTTATGGTAAAACCATGCCACAGTGCCCTAAATTTCCACTCTCTGTAGTCTGGTAAACAGTATGAAGTAAACAGATTTAGCTAGTCCTGGGCACTTGGAATAGTGTTTTCAAATCTTTTCCAGGCAAATCTCAAAGCTTTCCCACCCTTGTCACTTTGCAGATTCAGAGAGTTGTATCTGTAATTCCTTCCAGCTCTCACCCAGTGCTGAGTCCACTCTTTAACATTTCTGCCTTTTATCACCAATTCCAACCACCCTGCACTTTACTGCACAACTATTTCTGATGTCACATTATGAACCCTAATGAAAAACTTCACCTAGTTTAAAATAAACCAAACCTCTCCAACACCCCCCTTCCCTCCACCACCCAAAAAGTTCAGTTGCATTAATTTCCTGATCTCATTCATAGCTCAGCACTGCAAATGACTGTTGGTATGAATGAATGAGCAGAAATTCCTCAGGTGGAGTTCTAGTGTTGGGGATAAAAGAGGGGGGAGAAGAACACAACAAAATCTGGTTTACAGCCCTGTATCCTGGGCTGCATCGAAAGAAGCGTGACCAGCAGGTTGAAGGAAGTGATCCTGCCCCTCTACTCTGCTCTCGTAAGACCTCGCTTGGAGTATTGTGTCCAGTTCTGGTGTCAACATAAAAAGGACATTGAGCTGTTGGAGCAAGTCCAGAGAAGGGCCACAAGGATGATCAGGAGGCTGGAGCACCTCCCTTATGAAGACAGGCTGAGAAAGTTGGGGCTGTTCAGCCTGGAGAAGAGAAGGCTGTGTGGAGACCTCATAGCAGCCTTCCAGTATCTGAAGGGGCCTACAAGGATGCTGGAGAGGAACTCTTCGTTAGGGACTGTAGTGGTAGGACAAGGGGTAATGGGTTTAAACTTAAACAGGGGAAGTTTAGATTAGATATAAGGAAGAAGTTCTTTACAGTGAGGGTAGTGAGGCACTGGAATGGGTTGCCTAAGGAAGCTGTGAATACTCCATCCTTGGCAGTGTTCAAGGCCAGGTTGGACAGAGCCTTGGGCAACATGGTTTAGTGTGAGGTGTCTCTGCTTATGGCAGGGGGGCTGGAACTAGATGATCTTAAAGTACTTTCCAACCCAAACCATTCTGTGATTCTATGATTCTTCTTTCTTCCCCATTGACCTGCAGCACAAACTCCAAATAAAGGTGAGGGGCTGAAGAACCAACAGCTGGACTCTAAGGGACAGCATTACACCTGGCTTGCCACACTTCACTGTTCAAAAACTGATGACATTAAGAATAAAATGAAAAATGCCTACACTGAGGAGAAAAAAAAAACCACAAAAAAAGCCTTAAGCAGCACATTTCAGTAGCTGAATAGTCTCATATCTTGAATATAAATCATTGCCTATGATAATGCTATTTCATAAAAAAAGCCCCTTCCAATTTAATACCTTGCAGTCACTTTCAGAAACATTCTGATATTTTAGCATTCTGATTTAAGATTTATTATGTAAATTATTCTGCTTTATTCAATCTATTCAGCTCACTCAGCCTCTCAGATTTTAGCCTGGCTTCTTAAGGAAGCAAACCTAATACAATTAGAACATCTGTCTTATAATTAATTCATGGATGCACTGCTCTGTTTCAACTAAGTCTGACAGGGAGAAGAGAATTCAAATGTATTAAAATCCTAAACATGTTGTGAAACTGGTGATTCAGCTGACAGAGATCCTGTTAGAGCACCAATGAAAGAAAGACAGGAAAGTTAAGTTACGTATTGTAACCAAAGGCACTGGATGCATGGCAAATCAATACACAAGTAGCTACAGAGCTGAGTAAAAAGGTAGATGGCATCAGGGGAGAACAGGAGGCAACAGGGAACATATTTAGGAACACCCTATATTGCCAGAGGTATTTGTCAAAGACATGGGGAGAAGTTAAGAGGATGCTAGGAAGAACATGGAAATATAAAAGCTTTGCTGAGGGGAAGCTGGCACAGAAAGCCACTAATTTTATGAGTTCCACAACTTAAAACAACTTATCAAAATGTCTCTCAATTCTAAATTCCAATACTATTTTTACATCACCATTGAGCTGAAGCACAACAAAGAGAGGTCAGTAGAAAACCTCTAGTTCTGTTCTTTTAATGTACGTGAATGTTGGTACAGAACGTAACACCCCATCAGCAGAGTGCTCTTCACTATTATAGTCCATTAGTAACATAAGCATGTTACTGTTCACATATGTAGCCAAATAAATATAGTTGAAAGCAAGGTCCTGCAAACTGACAACACATTAACATACCAAAACCAAAACAGAGACATGATGACTAAATGCCAACCCTCCCTGCATGGAAAT